TCTCGCTGCCTAGGCGGGTCTCGAACCCGTGGGCTCAGGCAATCCACTCACCTCAGCCTCCCAAAGGCGTGGGATTACAGGCTGAACCACTGAGCCTGGCTATGAATGAATTATTGATACAGTGAACAACATGAATGAATCTCACAATCATGAAACCATATAAAAAAAAGAGTACATACTATGTTATTTCATTTATATAAAATTCTACAGCTAGGCACGGCGGCTTGCACCTGTAATCCCAGCACTTTGGAAGGCCAAGGTGGGAGGATTGCTTAAACCCAGGAGTTCGGTATCAGTCCAGGCCACACAGCGAGACCTTATTTCAACAACAACAACAAAAATCCCAGTTACTCCAACCTGGGCGACTGAATAAGAAACTCTGTCGACTCAAAAAAAACAAACTCCCAAAATCTAGAAAATGCAAACTAGTCTAGGTTGACAGAAGGCAGATCAGGGATTGCCTAGGATGGAAGATGGGAAGGGAGAGCTGGAGAGGCACACAGGGAGACTTTTGAGGTCATAGTTATGATTCTTGTCTTTCTTGTACCCAAGACTTCATGGGTGTGTACACATGTCAGAACTTAGCAAATTGTTTTTAATTGCAGTTAATTATATATCAACGATGCCTCAACAAATCTGTCCACAAAACTGCAACTCGATCTAATTTGTTTTTTAAAAAAAATCCACTCTGGCTGCTGCGAGAAGGGACGGAGAGGGGTCCATGCAGTCACCCGAGTGAGACATGTGACTTTGGTGACAGTGGAGATGGAGGGGCGGACAGATCTTGAGAGATATTTCAAGACCTAAACAACAAGACTTGTGAGCAGTTTGCATACATGGTGTGAAGGAAATGGAGATACTGAACGGCTGTAACATTTCCAACTGGAGTGCTGGAAGGCGGGGAGGCCTGAGCCAGGGTCAGAGCTGAGGGTGGAGGTGGGTGTGGAACAAGAGTTCTCTTCCACCTCTGGGGGTGGCTGGGCTCCAGGAGAAGGGTCTGGGTGGAGATAACATTTGGGGGATATTAGCAACAAATGGTGTTTTAAAGCCAAGTGAATGGATGAGATCATGTAGGGATAGAGAAGAGAGAGAAAAGTCTGAGCACTGAGTCTGGGACACCCCAACATGTAGAGGCCCCTGAAGGAGGGGGAGCTGGGATAGTTCATCAGGAAGGAGCAGTCAGAGAGGTACCCAACTGTATTAATTTCCTGTGGTGGTTGTAACAAATTACCACACACTGGATGGCTTAAAACAACCGCAAACTTATTTCTCACAGTTTTGGAGGCCAGAAGTTCAAAATCAGATCACTGGGCCAAAATCAAGATATTGGCAGGGCCACCCTTCTTCTGGAGGCTCTAGGGGAGATTTTGTTCCTTGCCGCTCCCAAGCTCTGGCAGCTGGTGGCATTCCTTGACTTGTGGCCACATCACTCCAATCTCCCTCTCCATGGTCACACGACTTCCTCCTCTTTTGTCTGAATCAAGTCTCCCTTTGCCTCACTCTTGTAAGGATGCTTGCATAGAATTAGGCTCTACCCAGATAATCCAGTTTTCTTTATCTCAAGATCCTTAATTAATTACATAAAGACGCTTTTTCCAAACTAGGCTGTGTTCACAGGTTCTGGGAGTCAGGATATGGACATGTTTTTTGGGGGCCAACTTTCAACCCACTCCACCAACTGATTGACAAAAGAGATAACTCACTGAACAACCCAAGATGGCAGGACTTCCTGTGTCTGAGAAGAGGGCTGAGGAGGTCAAGTGTTGGGGGCATGAGTCTAGCCAGGAGTCTCAGCCAGGAGGTACAGGGCTGAGGCTGCAGCTGGCTTGGTCCTGCGTAGGAGAGTCTCACAGGGAGGGGAGGAACTGCAGACAGGAGGTTCCCAGCCCAGTCCTGACTCAGCATCTGGCAGGGGCCATCAACACAGGCGCCAAAGGGATCTTTCAGTTGGGGATCTGTGCATACCGCTCTCTAGTATGGACCCTTCAGCAGTTTCCCACAGCCCTTAGGCAGAAGACCAATACCATCACCAGGTATGATGTTCAGGGCCTGGCCCTGGCCTACCTCTGGCAGCTTGTCTACACTTTCTGTCCCTGCCGGTTGCCTCAAGGTACACTGGCTGCATTTCAGTCGCTGTCTCCCCTGTCCTGGGGCCTTGGCCTGGTGTCCCCTCTGCCTGGAAGGCTCTTGTTCAAGCCACTTCGAGTTACCATCCAGCAGTGCTTCAGAACTCAACCCTGAAGTCACTTCTGCAGTCAATTATCTCCCTTGGGTCCCTGGTCCTGGTCATACAAATTCTTTTTTTTTTTGAGTTGGAGTCTCACTCTGTTGTTGGAGTGCAGTGGCACACTCATGGCTACCCCAGCATTGACCTGGTGGGCTCCGACGATCTTTCTGCCTCAGCCTTACAAGTAGCCAGAACTATAAGCACACTCTACCACGCCCGGCTAATTTTTGATTTATTGTAGAGATGAAGTCTCGCCAAGTTACCAGTGCTGGGATTACAGGCTGAGCTACCTCTCAACTGTGTGATACAAATTCTTGTGGTCCATGGGCTCATCTTCCACAGCACCATCAAAGTGTACAATGTGCACATATTTGTCATATTCTTTTACTGTTTTTCTCCACCACTAGACCAAAAGCACCACAGGGCAGATCTGTTAGCCACCACTCTATTCCAAGTGCCTTGCCAGTGCTTGACACATGCAGGGGGTATATGGAGGTTTTAACACATCTGCACATTTTTTGACATTCTTCTTGCCAAGAGGTAGAATCTAATTGAACTTCCTTTAAATATGGATGGGTCTAATGCCTTGTATCTAATTAACAGAATGTGGCAGAAGGAACGCTGTGTGATATCTGAGGTTAGGCCAGGAAAGCTAACATGGCTCTCCCTGGCTTATTCTCTTATTTCTTTTTGCTCTCTTTTTGGATACTTCCTTTCAGAACCCAGCTGACATGCTGTGAGGATACTCAGGCCACACAGAGAGACGACATGTAGGTGTTCTAGCCAAAAGGGCCCCTGAAAGCAAGCCTGCAGCTGGCATCTATAACCAGACAGGTGCTGAGGAGCCTTTGAGATGACTCCAGCCTCAGTTGCCATCTGACTGCAGCCACGTGAGAGACCCTGAGGGGAATGACCCTGCTGAGCTCAGTTACTCCTAGAACCCTGAGAGAGAAAGTAATCTGTTATCATTACTATGAAAGTCACTATGTTTGGGGATGATGCGTTATACAGCAGTGGATAGCTAGAACAGGGTGCAGCAAAACCTCACTGAATGAATGCATGTGGGGGGTCAGGTGGAGGGAACTTTGCATGTGTTTTAGCTCTACGAGTTTCACACGACAGCTCTCAGTTTCTCCTTCACCAGAGGTCCTGGAGATTCTGGAAACCCCAGTTCAGAAACTCAGTTCTGTATTTCCTGTAACCACCCAAGGGGAGTAACCACCAAGGGGAGGCTCCTGGAAACTCTCACCTTGGGACAGGAAACATGGCGAGGCTGTCAGAAGTTAGTTCTGGCAGTGACTCGGGGAGCATTCATGTCACTGGGGCTTCTCAATCTTGGGCCCATGGATGGTTTCAGGGGAGCCACAACATGGAATATTTTCTCTGTGTATATGTGCATTTTCCTGGGAGAAGTTATCCAGGCTTCAACTTTTATCAGATCCTCCAGAGTCTGGGTCCCAGAGGTGTTAAGAAATTTGGATCTAGCCCAGCAATCTCAGTATCTAGGTTAAAATACTGAGAACACTTCATTTTCTGGTAAAAGATGGACTAGGACCCTATATAAACTTCCTTCTGAAAACAATTATGAAAAAAAAATTTAATGCACTGATGAGCTGGCAAGGAAGTGAGAAATATTCAGGCCAAAAAAGTCAAGGATCCAGCAGTAAGTTGAGTAATGAAACTTTTGCCTTGAGGACTTTTTTTTTCTGTTAAGTTTTATTTACTTTTTAGAGACAGAGTCTTGCTCTGTCACCCAGGCTAGAATACAGTGGCACTGTTATGGCTCACCGCAGAAATGGGCTCAAGAAATTTTCCTGTCTCAGCCTCCTGAGTAGCTGGGATTACAGGCACCACTATGCCTGGTTAATTTTTTATTTTTTGTAGAGACAGGTTCTCAGTATGTTGCCCAGGCTGGTCTCGAACTCCTGGCCTCAAGGAATCCCCCTGCTTTAGCTATTTAAAATTTTTTTATTGTGGTAAAAAATATACACAACGTGAGATCTATCTCTTTTTTTTTTTGAGTCAGAGTCTCATTCAGTCACCCAGGCTGGAGTGCAGCGGCACTCATGGCCATTGCAGCCTCCACCTGCTGAGCTCAGGTGATACTTCCACCTTAGCCTTCCAAGTAGCTGGAACTACAGTTGTGCACCACCCCACCCAGCTATTTTTAAAATTTATTGTAGAGATGAGGTCTTGCCATGTTGCCCAGGCTGGTCTTGAACTCCTGGGCTCAGGTAATTCTCTCCCCTCTGCCTTCCCAAATACTGGGATTACAGGCATGAGCCATCGCTCCTGGCTGTTCTTGAGTTTTTAATATATCCTCTTTTTTTTTTTTTTTGAGTTGGAATCTCACTTTGTCACTCAGGCTGGAGTGCAGTGGCACACTCATGGCCACCCTAGTGTTGACCTGCTGGGCTCAGGCGATTCTTCTGTCTCAGCCTTCCAAGTAGCCAGAACTACAGGCATATGCTACCATGACCGGCTAATTTTTTATTTATTGTAGAGATGAGGTTTTTTTGTTGTTTTTTTTTTTGAGTTGGAGTCTCACTCTGTCGCCCAGACTGGAGTGCAGTGGCCGCTCCTGGCCACCACAGCCTTGACCTGCTGGGCTCCGGTGATCCTTCCACCTCAGCCTTCCAAGTAGCTGGAACTACAGGTGTGTGCTACCATGCCCGGCTC